GCAGACATTCTGGTTTGAAATAAAAAACATCCTGTAGAGAATCGTTTCAGTTTCAAGATTTATATGATTGTGTGCATTTTCTTGGTAACACCACATGTCACTGATGTTGTTATAATATGAACTGAACATAGGAGGTCTAAATGTTAATTTATAGGATATTTTTCTTGATTTAAAATTGCATTACCAGAAAACATCTGATTGAATGAAAAAAAAAAAATCCTCTGATTTATTCCTTACAATTTGGTTGTGGAAATGGGAAAAGAAGATAAGAAGGGAAAATGATATGAAAATGAATGCTAATATTCCAATTTTTCCTCTAAAAGATGGGACGACTCAAAAGTATTAGAAGACTTGACTGGTTAATGCAATTTGGTAGAAAATGATGTTTGGAAAAATTGGCAAAATCTCTCCCACCAAAGGAAGTCCAAAGGGATGATAACAACAGAAGCTACTCCTTGGTGGGTTTCATTAATGAGCGGAGACAAAAATTGAATATAATTTGGGGCGAAAACTTTATAAGCATTCTGAATAGGACATTAATGAAACCTAGTTAACTAATTGAGAAAACTAAAGTACTAAAAGCATCTAAGACCTTTGTTTCAAGATTTATATATGATTGTTTGCAGTTTCCCTGTAACACCACATTTCATTAATGTTGTTATAAATCATACATAAAAGGTCTGAATAACAATTCACATGATATTTTTCTTATTTTGAAAGCTAAAAGTATTATTCGCACAAATCCTCTAATTGAATTGAAAAAACCTTTAATTTGTTGCTTAAGTGACTTTTATCTTTTGAAGCATTCAAATAATTTGCTTGTGAAAATAGAAAAAAAGGATACAAAATGAAAATGATATGAAAATGAATGTATTAATATTCTAAGTTTTTCTCGAAAAGATGGGAAGGCTTGGAAGTACTAGAAGACTTGACCATGAAAAATATATATGATTATAGATTTTTAGCCATTTAAATGTTTGTGTACTTTTGATTTTTCAATATTTTCTAATAAACACTTTCTTTGCAATGATTTTCATCTTTTGCAACTTTTGTACGTCGCCACCATGCATGTAATCTAAATAAAGACTTGATTGAGTTAATTATACTCAAATCATGATGACGGTTTCATTTTGAAAATTTCATTTGTTTTGTTATCTCAACATATATATAATGTAATCTGAGGTTGAGTGGTATGATTTTGTGGTATGTTAAATTTGGAATGAAGATAATGAATGAATGCCAACTTTCTACGATAATTTCTTTTATTGGCCAACCTACATTGATGTATTAGAATTAAAGATAGTTGAAGAAAACATAAAAGATTAAATTTAAACGTCAGTTACCTATTTTGTATATAAGATCAATTTTCCTTTGAACCTATAAAACCCTCAATGCATAGTAAATTTTAAAGGTAATGTATTTAATTTTGTTATAGACACACCCAGAAACACACCAACTCAAGTTTATTTGGAAGGAATGAGAATAGGAAAGGAAAGGAGAAATTAGCAGGCAATAAATAAGCTAAAAATAAAAAAGAAAAGTTGGAGTTCGAAGAGCCACATGTAATTTTATGGAATTCACATGCAACTTTTATGATTTGTTTGGGTTAATATTAAATTTTATAAGAAATTGTACATAAGATTTATTAGTTCCGGGTCATACTAAGATTTTGTCCAAATCTATACATAAAAATCAAACTTCAGAGCACAAACATTTATTCAAATTTCAATGATATGAATTAATTTATTCATTTTTGGACCAAAACAAAAATGAATAAAATTAATTCACTGTGACTCAATACCTGAGTAAGTGTACTCCTTCAATAACTAAAAATAAAATTTATAATAATTTATTTTATTATTTAGTCATAAAACAGTATTGATTATTCTATTAAGTTGCATGCCACTTAGGGAGCCCATATAGGATTTGTTTTGTTTGCAAACATTTTTAAAATAAAAATCACCGAACTACTGGCCTTCAATACTTTTATATATAATTGTCTCCAGTTTTTCCCTAACACCCACTAACTTTAAAAGGATCTGAATATATGATAGATGATAAGAGATTATAAATAAAAAAAATCTTTTACCAAAGAAAACTGAAAGAGATGATAAGCGTGAAAGTTCTGGTGAAATTATTAATGAGTAAAGGATTGAAACTGAGTATAATTTGAAGCGAAGACTTTTAAAAGCGTTATGTGGACAAGGCAATCTCTTTAACATGTCACATACATTCTATTTTTCTTTAATTTTTCAATCACCTTATTACTGGAAAAAAAGTTAAATAAAAGTAAAATACAATGACATCCCCTCTCTAATTTACTAAAGGTCACCTCTATTTTGAAAAGAAACACTATATAGTCCAATTTTTTATACCATCAAGAACATTTCATTGAAGATTCCAAAATACCTAATTTTACTATTTGCCATTATGTGAACATTTTAAATTTATTAATCTGACCCTACAATCTTTTTTTTTTCCACGCATGAGTATCTTTTTATTAGAGGTAATTCTATGTGAGGTATTGTTGAGCACTAAATGTGGACATTTTCTCAGCAAAGATTTAAATATTAGTTTATCACGTTATGAAGGACTAGCTTCTCCCACTAGACCTAACCCTGTTGGTTAACCTTATAATCTACTCCCTCCGTTCCTTATTATAAGAGACATTTGGTGCTTATGGCATGTTCCTATATATAAGAGACACTTACAAGTTGTCTCTACTTTTTTGTGTTGATTTACTATTTTACCCATATTTATTATCTCCAACTCACACTCTCTCTCCCTCTCACTTCTCTTTCTTTTAATAATTTAATTGTTCTCTCTCATGCTCTCTCTCCTTATTAATGAGGACATTTTTGGAAAGAAATTATACTTTTTACACATTAATTGTTCTTAACTAATTTTAACTGTTTTTTTGATCAACGTACTTCGGTTATTTGTCTCTTATAATAAGAAACAGAGGGAGTAATTGTCTCCTCTCTGTTGTATTTTTTAAAATCTTTGATGTTTTGAATAGTTATATGCTTTTTTTTTTTTTGAAAAGAAAATGTAAGCTTAAATTTTAGGCCACACCCAAAGATTTGCAAATTTTCTATCCGCGTCTTAGCTCCAAAAACTTTCTACTTGAAATAGACTTTATGATGGAAAAATGAATATTTATTTCAAGATATTATATATAGATATATAGATTAAATCAAGATATCGAGAATACATTAATTTGCTCATTTTGTAGCTAAATAAAAGAATTTGATTTATGTGTGAATTATTTGCAAACACTCTCGTTCCAAATTAAAAACATCCCCAAAACGATTGTTTCAAGATTTATATTATTGTATGCAGTTTCTCTGTAACACCACATGTCATGTTGTTATAGTATGAATTGAACATAAAAGGTCCAAATAATAATTCATAGGACATTTTTCTTATTTTAAATGCTAAAAGTTGTATCCGATGAAGACCCCTGATTGAATGAAAAAAAATCATTTAATTTATTGCTTAAGGGACTTTTATCTTTGAAACGTCCAAACGATTTGGTTGTGGAAACTGAATAAGAATGAAAAATGATATGAAAATAGATGTATTAATATTCCAATTTTTCCTCAAAAAATATTCCAATTTTTTCTTGAAAAGATGGGAAGACCTAGAAGTATTAGAAAACTCGACCATAAAAGAAAATGGTAATAGATTTTTTTATCCATTTTTTATTTTTTCAATATTTTCTTATAAACAATTTATTTGTAATTATTTTATTTTTTCACAACTTATATGTGTACATCGTGACCATGTAATCTAAATAAAGACTTAATTGAATTAATTCTACTCAAATAAATCATGATGACAGGTTCATTTTGAAAATTTCATTTGCTTTGTTATTTCAGCGTACAATGTAATTTGAATTTTATAGCTCTGATTTTGTGGTATTTGGAGTAAAGATAACAAATGAATGCAAACTTTCTACAGTAATTTTTCTTGCAAACCTACATTAAATACATATAATGTATTCCAATTAAACACAGTTCAAGACAACATAAATGATAAAATCTAGACGTCAGTCAAATATTTTGCATATAGGATCAATTTTTCTTTGAACCTATTAAAGCCCGAATGTACATTAAATTTTAGCTAAGGTATTTAGTTTTGTTATGAATGTACATGTCGTGTATTTGGAAGGCAAGTGAATAGGAAGGAAAGGAGTAATCAGCAAGGAATAAATAAGCTAAATAAAATTACGACGGAAAAAAAAAGCTAAAAAGAATAAAAAGGAAAAGCTGGAGTCCGAACGGAATTATTATGACTTTTTTGGGTTATATTAAATTTTATAAGAAAAGGTTTATTATTTTCGGGTCATACTAAAATTTTGTCGAATTTCTTAGCCAAGAAAATCAAACTTTAGAGCAAAATATTTATTCAAATTTCGATTATCTGAATTAATTTATTCATTTCTGGACTAAAATAAATAAATAAAATTAATTCACGTTGACTTCATTACGTGAGTGCGTGTTTGTATACTCCTTATACTCCTTTTATAATTAATAACAATATAAAAAAATAAAATTTGTTATAAGTTATTTTATTTATAAGTCATAAAATAGTGATGATGATTCTTTAAGCTCCATGCCATTCATGGAGCCCATGTAGGATTTGTTTTGATTGCAAACATTTTAAAAATAAAATAAAATCACTGAGCTATTAGCCTTCAATATTTTTACACATAATTGTCTCCACTTTTTCCCTAACACCTGCTATCTTTAAAAGGATCTAAATATATCATATATTATATCTATGGTACTTTCTTATTCATGACATGATTTTTTATTGAAAAGACGGGAAGACTTGGAAATATTAGTATACTTGACAATAAGAAATATCATGCGGTTATCAATTTTTTAAGGCATTTAAAGTTTTTGTTTACTTTAGATTTTCCAATATATATATATATATATATATATAATGTAAAGACTTCATTGAGGCCATCATACTCGAGCTCACTTACCACAATGGCTAGATTCGCTTCACAGATTTCCTCTGTTTTGTTGTTTCTGCTATTTACAAGATCATTAAACAGGGTGATGAGTTGCAATGAAAATGATGAAAGGTTGCTTTTAATCTTCAAACAAGGAGTGGTTGATCCAGACAACAAACTCTCTTCTTGGACTTCTGAAGAAGATTGCTGTTTATGGGAGGTAGTTCACTGCGACATCACCACTGGCAGAGCCACGGAGCTTTCTCTCTTCACTCATTCATTAGAAGGTGACATTAATCTGTGTGTGCTTCAACTTGAATTTCTCAACCACTTGGACTTGAGCCTCAATTATTTCAAAACTGTGAGTATGCCACCATGCCAAATCTCCAAATCTCCCTTTGATGCTAAAAAAATTTCACAACCAATCACTTGCTGCTCCTTCCAATCACTCAACAAGCTCTGTTGCTCTACGTTATCTTAATTTTTCATATAATGATGATTTAGTCATAAATGACCTTCATTGGCTTTCTCAACTTTCTTCCTTAAAATATCTTGATCTTAGTTACGGTCATATTAGAAATGATACCAAATGGCTCCAGCATATAGCCATGCTTCCTACACTCTCTAAGTTACACTTACATGATTGTGGACTCGGAGATTTTCCATCCCTTGATTATATCAATCTTACATCACTTGAAGTTCTTGATCTTTCTTATAATTTTTATATGGTAAAGTCAAAGTTACCTAATTCATTTTTTAATATCACCCATCACATCCATCATCTTAACCTTCGTGCTTGCAATTTCTATGGCCAATTAACAAAGTCCTTGCTCAATCTAAAGAACCTCAAGTACTTAGATTTTCATTATAATAATCTTGAAGGATTAATTCCAGATTGGCTCGGCCAATATGAAGAGTTGCAGTCCTTGTATATCTCTTAGAATTTGTTCCATGGTGCAATTCCATCATCTCTTGGAAATATTTCTTCCCTGTTCTGCTTAGACTTGTCCCACAATCAATTGAAAGGCAATCTTCCAGAAACCTTGGGATAACTCCATAACTTAATTCAAATAGAAATTACGCACAATTTCTTGGTTGGTGTTCTTACAGAAAAATTTTTTGCCGGTCTCTCAAGTTTAACAACATTGGGCTTAAGTTCAAATAGTTTCAAATCTGACTTTGATCCTAAATGGGTACCATCATTTCAACTTGAGACATTGTATATGGCTAACACAAGCATAGGTCCTAATGTTCCACCATGGCTATATACACAACAGTCTTTAAGGGAACTAAATATTTCTGGATCAGGGATTTCAACAATTGATAAGGATATATTTTGGAACTTTGTAGCAGGAATAGAATACGTTGATATCTCAAATAACTTAATTAGTGATGACATATCCGGTGTCACACTATCAGCAAATGTCTCTTATTTTTATGCATCTCACACCTCCTTATCGGGATCTGTTTTCTCATTATTGTGCCAATTAGAGGGTAATGGAGAAAGCAAGTTGGTTGAATTGGACTTGTCATATAATCATTTGAGCGGAGCACTTCCCGATTGTTGGACCAATCGGAAATCATTGGAATTCCTTAGTTTGGGGAGTAACAAGCTAATAGGTAAAGTTCCTCCCTCCTTTGCTTCACTGGGACTTGAACAGTTAGATTTGAGTGATAATAGTTTCTCTAGTGAATTTTCATCAAGCATGCTTAATTGGACAAATTTGAGATTCCTCATTTTAGAGAAAAATAATTTTTCTGGAAGTTTGCCAAATCCGTATATGGCACGATCTTTGGAAGTTCTTAAATTAAGGACCAACCAATTTATGGGTAATATTCCACCAGGAATATGCATGCTCTCTTCTTTGCGGATACTAGAGCTTGCTGATAATAAGCTTTTTGGATCTATACCTTCTTGCTTATGCAACATCACAAATCCAAATAACATCAGCTCATATTTCGATCTTCGTGAAATGATGCGCATATTTACTAAGGGAAGGGAGTTAGACTACCAATTTGCTAGATATTTCAGAAGTAGTGTTATTGATCTTTCTGGTAATAGCTTATCTGGAGAAATTCCTAAAGAATTGTTTAGTATCACTCTAATGTGGTCATTAAACTTGTCTCGAAACCATTTGACTGGAAAGATTCCTAAAGAAATTGGAGCCCTGAAAAACTTAGAATCTCTGGACCTTAGCCACAACAGACTTTCTGGAGAAATTCCTTCTACCATATCTAATTTGTCCTTTCTTGCTTGTTTGAATCTCTCATATAACAATCTCATCGGACAAATTCCATTGGGAACCCAAATTCAAGGTTTTGATACCTGGAGTTTTGTTGGCAATCATGAACTTTGTGGAGATCCTCTTCCAAAGAAGTGCAACAAAAAAGACGAAACTCATGACGACTCAAAGCCACCTGAAGGAGATGAAGACGATGGCTTTCTGAAGTCAATGTATCTTGGTATGGGGGTTGGATTTGCGGCGGCCTTCTGGGGAATTTGTGGTTCTCTCTTCCTTATCAGAGCATGGAGACACAGATTTTTCCGATGGTTTGATCACTTGACAGATCAACTTTATGTTGCCTTCACCCTCTGGTTCAAAAGATTCGGTTAAATATCAAAAACAGATCTCCCTTGAGGTAATAAATTAGCCATGCCTTAATTTTTCAAGTATTGTTAGTATTTTCTGTTTCCTTTTAATTTCTTCTATTTCCTAAAAAAATTCTGTTCTTAGCTGATTATGTTTTATCTTGTTTGTTTTTCAATATGGGATGCAAGTGAAATAGCTATCACTACTCTGATCGTTCCTCTGATTCAAATACTGAGTTCTGCTTCAAGGAATAAAAGCTTTGCTGCTGTTTTGCATGGTCAAGGGCTCTAATAGCATAGCCTACTGAATGCCCTTTTGTTATCGTAGATTTAGTGAGTTATGAGAAGAGAACATTTTTTACTAATAGTTATATGTGTGTCTGGGTGTCTCATGTTGTTAAGGAACCTTTGATGAATAGTCTTGAATGTGATATATGATTGTTACTCTAAAGTTCGATCATGAGTTATGATTTAGAACCAAATAAAAAGATATTACGCGTCTGTATTGAGATTTCAGGTGTAAGTGTAACAATCAAAACAAAAAGGCATGTGAGTGTTGTAATCTGTAAGATAAGATTTATATGTATATCAACATGTTGGATATTAATTTGTAACTTGCTACAGTGTGTAGCTATCAATTTGTGGAAGATTAGAGGATCTTATAACATTCTGTTTCGAAGCTTGAGATACTCTGTTCCATTTTGGTTTATACGAGTAGCTTCGAATGACAGAGTCATGCCTTGTATTGAGAATTGGAGAAGTGTTAAATATAATGAAAATTAAATAAAAAAGTCGGCTCAGATAATCAGGTGCATAGTAACACGAGCATGTTTCTAATGCCTACTTGAAATCTGCTTATTTCAAGTACTCCCTCCCATATTTTCTACGATGTCATATTAACAACTGTTCTAAGATGTTGAAATTGATTATAAATATTTCATTAAATTTAATTAAGGATTACTGAGTAGAGTGTTATGATCCGGACTGGACCCAATATTATTAGTGATACAAATTAAAGTTGGTTGTTTTTTTCTTTTCGCCATGCATATGTATCCTCTTTTAGATATAATTTTATTTAAAATATTGTCGAGCATTAAATGCGAGCATCTTTTTCGGTAAGGATTCAAACTTAAGTTTACCATGTCGTGAGAGACTGGCTTCTTCTACTAGACTCAACTCCTATTAATAACCTCAGTCAATTTTGTGTTGATGCATGTACTAGTTTGTCTTCTGTGAATAAAATTTTCCCCCTTTCTTCATCCAATCAACAATCCACCATGATGTCCGATTATTAGTTGAAAAGATGACTTCAATATTTAGACAATTATATATATATATAAATATATATATAAAGAGCAGATGATATAGATGGCAAATTTTGATGTTAAATCGTATAACTGAATGGATAGAATAAAAATTAATAAAAAAAATTGTTCCTAATGTTCCTAATGTTCTCAAAATAAATCTTGTCAAGTTGAAAAGGAGGGACCCGAAGAGGATTTTACGTCAAATCGAAAACTTGAACTATATAGCATGTGATGTGAGGTATTTTTTTCCCCCTTATTACAAGTCGGTCCTCCTCTATGTTCAGAAAAAAATTACAATATGAAAGAAAAGCATGAAAATATAAATATTAGTATGATTCAATCTATGACTCTCTTGATTAGGATAATTAATACATTCAATTTTTAATATAAGAACTACTTGACTAATTTGATTTAATTTAAAAAGTCAAATAAATTAGTTAATTATAACAAACATTCTGTAAAACATTAAATTATAAGTTACAGAAATTAATTGGAAGAAAAATAATAAATATAAGATATAAAGTATATTAAGATTTTATACTTATGATCAAATTCAATCTCCAAACTAGCTTTTATATTAATGTAAAAATTCTCTTTAATCTAAAATTAATGTAAGATTAACAGTCAACATTAATGTGGTCAGACAAGGGGCGATACTGCAATGATTTTGACTCTTCAACGGGCAATATTGCTTTGCTAATAGTTCATGCTAATAATTAGTGCTACCGGCGAAATAGTCCAAAGGCAAATGTCCTTTAATCTTAAAATAATTAGAGAGGGCCTGTTTTTTTGGGGGGGAGGGTAAGAAGTAAATTACACGCCGAGGGGAAAAATTCATGTTATCGGGATAGTATAGGTGACGACTTCCATAACTTTCTTAATTAATTATTAATGTTAATGAATGAAACATCATATTATTTGGTCATTGCGTGTTTTTCCAACCCACTATGGTGAGGTTAATCAACTTCTAAGACCTTCCTGACAATTTTTAAAATTAACCTTAGTTTAGCTTTCGGATTACATTTCCCAAGAGACAAAAGCTGCCATTAAAAAAAATTAGAAGACGATGAAAAAGAAAAATTAACAATATTTGGGCACCGCACGAGGTGGAAGTCATCATATACCATCCCGCTAAGTTGATGAATTAATTTTTTTCCACCAGCGTGTAATTTACTTTCCTTCTCTTTTATTCCCTTATCTTTTTATTGTTTTTTTTAATGGGTCGTTGAAAAGCAATGCACTACAAAAAAATTGACTTTCAGCGGCGACAAAAGTCACCGCTGAAAGTATAAAAGTCGCCACTAAAAGTTTTTAGCGGCGACTTGAAAAATCGTTGCCAAACACTTTTGGTGGTGACATTCTTGTCGCCGCCAAAAGACTTTTCAACGGCGACAAATGTCACTGCCGAAAGTATTTTCTGCGCGACTTTTTTGTCACCGCTAAAAGTAATGCCTAAGAAGAATTGGCTTTACCAATGCCACGTCATCGTTACCAGTGCCACGTCATCACCGTCGACCGCCACGTCATCGCCATCGGTGGCCACATCATCACTAGCCACCTCGACATAATTGCCACATCACTCCTCCTCGCCACATCATCGTCCAAATATTTTCACCTTAAATGTGTCTTCTTCCAGGTTCAAACTCGTGACCGCCTCCTTTCGTGTCTAATTTTCTTGCCACTGAGCCAGATTGAATTTGTTTATTAATATTGAAAAGTAAAATATATATATTATTATATTATACTTTCAGCAGCGACAAAAAAAGTCGCCGCTGAAAGTCTACCTTTAGCGGCTTCACTTTTGTCGCCACTTAAAGTCTTAGTTTCAGCAGCGAACTTTCAACGACAACTTTTTTTGTCGCCGCTAAAAGTCCACTTACACTTTTGTCGCCGCTGAAAGTCTTGATTTCAGCAGCGAACTTTCAGCGGCAACTAAAAAAGTCACTACTCAAAGTCTACTTTCAGGGGCGACAAAAAAAAGTCGTCGCTGAAAATCTTAGTTTCAGCAGCGACTTTTTAGTGTCACTTTCAGCGGCAACTTTTTTTATCATCGCCAAAAGTCGTCGCCTAAAGTCTGTTCTTTTGTAGTGATGGCAACTCCAGTCTCTTCAGAAATTCATTAATTCAAAAGCTAATTATTTGCAAACATTCTCGTTTGAAATTAAAAGCATCCCACAAATAATCATTTCAAGATTTACATGATTGTGTGCAGTTTCTCTGTAACGCCACAAGTCGTTGATGTTGTTATAATATGAACTAAACATAAAAAGTCTAAATGATAATTAAAGGATATTTTTCTTATTTCAAAAGCTAGAAGTTGTATTTCTAGAAAACCTCTAATTGAATTGGAAAAAAAATCCTTTAATTTGTTGCTCGAGCGACTTTTATCTTTTTGAAGTGTTTCAAACGATTTGGCTGTGGAAATTGAATAAGAATGGAAAATGATATAAAAATGAATGTATTAATATTCCAATTTTTTCTCGAAAAGATGGGAAGACTTGAAAGTATTAGAAGACTTAGACTATAAAAAAAATGGTTATAGATTTGTTTAGCCATTTAAATGTTTGTGTGCTTTTTCCAATATTTTCTAACGTTTGCTTTTTATCTTGGAAAGTTGCTATAATGAGCAAGAGAAGGTATGACCCAATGTGTGAATTGCAATGTTTGTATAGAAGGGACGACATCTTCACTGGAGGAGAGAAAGCAAAGCATAGATAACAAATATGGTAAGAAATATTAGTGAGATTCATAGGTGGGCGCGATGGGCTTTAATTTCGTGAAGTCGTTAGAAGTATTTAAGCGGCTTCCAATGAACATTTTCGACTGTACGTGCCTTTAACTCGGCCTTTAACCAATAGAAGTTGGGTTTAGCAGAAGAAATTAGTCTCTCACAACGTGACAAACCAAGGTTCAAATCGGGAGAGGTATCCACGCTTAGTACCCAACAGTGTCTTGAACCGAATTGCCGTACTTTAGCACCAAAAAAAAAATTGGCCTTCATTTGGGCCTTCCTTCCATTTGAGTCGGCGCCATGAAGAATCAATCAGTGGTTGGGTGGAGAAGCCAACAATGGGGCTGAAGAAGCGGAGAAAGGAGATGCTGCCGGAGAAATGGGCGGAGGAATCCGATTGCATGGTATCATACAGGAGTTGAGTTGGAAGACACATTTTCATTTTTTAATGATGTTAATTAATATTTCTTGCCATGTGGGATAATTATTTGGGGATTAAAATTAAATGTAAAAGGATTAGGGACTGAGTTATAGAAGAGTCAAAAGTTGACAGATTGAGTTACACCGAGTTATAGTTAAATGACTGAGTTATAGGTGAGTTAAAACATTGAAAAACTAAAAGATTAATTTTCCCTATCTTTATTTATATCCACTCACATGTATTTGGAAGGCATGTGAATAGGAAAGTAAAGGAGAAATAACTAGCAATAAATTAGCTAAAAAGAAAAAAAAAAAAAAGAAAGAGTACAATAATTACATCAATTTACTTATATTCATTATGTCAAATGCCTAAATCATATATAATCATATATGGGCCCTGAAAAGGCCCATTTTTTGTTCTCCTGCTATTAAAAAAAAAATTGTCACGTAACCCCAGGAGAGAAAATCACATAACAAAGTAGAATTTTGAGTTGCTTTTTGTGCAGAATCGCCAAATATTGAGTAACTTGATTTAGTGACTCTTTCAAAAGGTGTGAATGATTTTTT